GTATTCTTTTTATGCCATAACATTTCTTTGTCTTAATTTTCTTTTAAAAAAAAATCCTAAAAGTTTTGAATTCTATAGTCTCAGACTTTGGAGCCCATTGTAAAAGTCATTGAAACCACCATACTGATCAATCAATATTCTGAGTATGTCTATGATGGTTACGATCTTGCATCTTGATATGATTTTTACGGTAGTTTGGCAGATGGCTCACATTTCTTCAGTCACTAATCATTCATCTGTCCCCTGCAGGCTGTCCTTTCCTCACAAAATCAAAAATCAAAACAGCAATGGATGCCATGCCAGAGTATTCCCTCTTCCTTGTGAGAATTTTGGAGGAATTGGATACTAAGTATAGCACCGTTTCATACCAAGACCTTTGCAAGTCCCTGTGTGCCAGGTTTGATTTGGTCCATTTGGCTAAGCTGAGGAGTCTGCTGTTCTACACAGCATGCTTGGATCCAGCTTTCCCCGCAACCTTATTCAAAGACAAGATGAGGTGCTCGGTGGAGGACCAACAGTCCAAGAAGCTCATGGTGGCGGCGGACATTGTCACTATGTTTAATCTCATCCAGATGAATGGAGGTATGGCCAAAGACAAGTTGCCAATGGGTCGGAGACCCAAGTTTCACAAGAACCAGTCCTTTGAGTCCTGTCGATCTGACACGGATGTGTATAAATTCAACGATAACGACAGGGGGTACAACCTCATGGACACCAGGGGTCATCACGTCTCTCGGAAGTCACCCTGCCCAAAATCTGACTGCAATAACTGCCAGCAGTTTATACCAACCTCAGAACCCAACTTCCTCTTGGGAGTCACCAAGGATCTGAAATGTAGGGCAGCATCGTTGGATAAACTACAGCATCTGCCACAGTACTCCAGCGTCAGTCCTCCTCCATGCGAGATGCAGAGCACTTACTTCCCCATGGACATCGACAGCGAGTCAACAACGGACCAGGAATCTCTCCACGCCAACCCAGGGATCAAGGATGTTTTCGTGTCCAGCAGAGAGCCTTTCACCGTGCACTCATGCATGCAAAAGCGGAATGTCTTCAAAGAGGATTTCCACAACCTTGTTGCCTTTTCACCCCACGTGATCACTACGGAGTGCAGAGCGAATCCCAAAGCTGGTGGCGAGTACCACCACAGGAGGGAGCTGAGCAAGCCTCCCACTTTCTTCAATCACAGTTTCGAGCTGCCATACAGCAA